ACTGAGCTAAATCCCCAGCCCCACTGTTTTTTGGGGGGTACCGGGGATTGAACTCGGGTTCTTGTGCTTGCAACGCAGGTCCTAACTTATCTGGAAGACAGAAGAGGGCAAACGCTGTTGCTAATATCGCCCAGACCCTCTCAATCCACCCTCTCACCTTCTAGCTTTCTACTCATGGAGGTAAGTACACAGACAGGGCACCTGTGCTGTTGGATGCATTCCACAAACTGAACACTCCCTTGTTACCAGCCCTCAAACCAAGAAGCAGGTTAGTGGTGGGCTGGGGATTTAGCTCAGTGGTACCACCACTTGCCTTGCGCAGGTGCCGTCTATGTACTTTTGCCCTCTTCTAGCTTCCAGATGCTCCAGAATGCCATCACATTGAGTGTTGGCAGCAAGCCTACCTTGGAGCAAGGCATCACAGCCACGCAGGCCCTGGAAGCAGCAGCCGTCAACCCTGGGCCACCAGTAACTCAGCACCATGGCAAGTGGCATGAGGAGCTACACTGCCTGGGCTCCAGTCCTCGCTCCTGTACCACTAGATGTGGGGAACTGAATGTGCTACTCACCCTCTTTGTGTTGCCTTCATTCTGCTACTGTAAAGCCAGTGTTAACATTAAAAATACACATACATGCACCATGCTTACCTTGCAACTGCAAGGTCCCGAGTTCAATCCCTGGTACAAAAAAAAAAAAGCACATACCCAGCACACAAGACAGTAGACTTAGCTTTGATCTTTATCCCTTAGCCATGGTATCCTACCTTGGTTTGTTTTGTTTTGCTTTTTGAGACAGGGTCTCACTGGGTAATTCAGGCTAGCCCTGAATTTGTAGCAACCCTCCTGCCTCAGACTCCTGAGTGCTGGAATTAAGAGTCATGTGCCACCATCCTTGGTCTCCTACCTTAAGTTCACTGTTATCATATTCGTATTCTTTTAATAACTTAGTAGTATTCTTTGCCATGTTCCAAAAAGAACTTTAAAGATCTGTTTATTATTTGAATAGTACAATCACGTCACACAAAGCATTATATGTTTAGGAACACAGTCATCTTGCCCTGTTCTGAAGTATCTAATAGGGTCTGCAGGCACAAGCCAGTGGTCACATCAGCGACACCGTAAGAGGGGTTATACTGGTACAGAAGAAAGTGCCAAGCACACACTCATCAACACACATTCAAGAAAAAGCCTTAAGTTTTACAGTGAAATTTTCCAATCCTACAGAAAAGTTAGGACAGTACAGTGAATACAGCTATTAACATTATCCATCTTGATTTCTCTCCTCTCCACATACAATTTATTTTATTGATTGACTGGTCTTGAAATCACTATGTAGTCCAGGCTGGCCTTGGATTCATGGTGACCCTCCTGCCTCAGCCTCTTAAATGATAGCATTGAAGGCATACACCACCACATCCCACTTTTATTTTCTGCTGAATCATTTGACAGTTAAGTTGCAGACATAATGTCATCTTATTCATAAATATATCAGTAGTCTTTATCACATAAGAATCAGGATATTTTTTGATAAAGCCATACTATCCAGATCACACCCAAGGGCTTCACAGTAGTATAGTATTATTACCCAATAAATAGTCTACATTTTTATTTTTCCAATTGCTGTACAAGTGACCTTTTTTCTCAGTTCAGGGCCCAATCTAGGATCACACATGTTAAAACTGTCAGGGTTCCTTCAATCCAGGGCAGTGCTGGCAAACCCATGGCACATATGTTACCATGTTTTTCTTTTAAGACTAAAGGTATTAATGTGTGAGTTGTTTTCTCTAAACTAAAACCTCAGTGTTCAGGTTTTGCAGTATTGCCACTGGGGATTTAGCTCAGTGGTTCCCACCGCCTGCCTCACAAGCATAAGGTCCTGAGTTCGATCCTTGGTACCAAAAAAAATAAAAAAATAAAAAATTGCAGTATTACCACTTTGCAATAAATAAATGGGCTTTTGGTTGTAGTTTGGGCACTCGATCTCTAAAAGTTTTGCCATCACTTATGGCAATGCTCTACCCTTGTCTTTTTATGTCTTTCATAGCATTAACATTTTTGAAGAATTTAAGCAGCTGTTATAAAACGTCCCACAATCCAGACTTGTCTGACTCTTGTTCAGATTTAATATTTTTGGAAAAGTCCAACTTAGTTGATGTTTCTTTTCATAGGTCACACTGCAATATATAATGAGATACATAAAATGAATGTGTTCATTATTAAGTGTTGCTACATTTGATCATCTGGTTAGGGTGATGTCCACTCAAACTTTTCCAGTAAGCATTAGGGGTGAAACTTGGCGGTCCCATGTACAAGGCCCAGGTCCAACCCTCAGCACCACAAAAACAACAAAGTCACATGTGATAGTGCACACTAGGAGGCTAAGGCAGGAGGATCATGAGTTCAAAGTCAGCCTGGGCTACACACCAAGTTTGAGGCCAGCCTGAAGTACACAGTAAGACTGTCTCAAAAAACAAAAAATAAGCTGGGGGTTTAGTTCAGTGGCACCATGCCAGCCTTGCAAGTGCAAGGTCTCAAGTTCAATCCCCAGTACCAAAAAACAAAAACAAACAAAATCTTTCCATTATAAAGACACTTTTCCTCTGTTAAAAAATGAGTAATCTGTAGTGATTCTTTTTGGGTTCTTTTGAGTATCTTGTTCCCTCAAAACTTTCTTTACCCAATGGTTTTAGCAACCATTGATATTCTTTGCCAGAATCAACAATCACCATTAGTAACTACAAAATGATCACCTGTGATGTTTACTGCATGGGTGAAATAAACCCTTGCAAATCAAATCCTACTTTCCCACTTCTGTGGGTTTTACTTACAGAACCATCTCATGGCTGACTGCAGAAGTTCATTTGCTCGTCTCTCAGCTCTACCTACAAGGGCAGGCACCCGTAGGAATGCACTGGCTTCTCAGCGGGCAGGGCATCAGCTGTTCACACACAGGATGCTCCCTGGACTTTCTAGCCCCACTTCCCACAGCAACCAAGTTCATGCCATCAGAGTCAGCTGCAGGCATGCATAAAGAGTGGGAGCAGCAGGGCACAGAGGCCCCAGGTGGTAGATTCAAAGGTGCACAAACCGCACTGGGACAGTACCAAACTACGCACGTGAGCCAGCTGCCTCAGGCAACCTGTTTCCCTCCTGTGACAGTGGACAGTGCTCTAAAGTCTTAACACGGGCACACCAGCCACACCAGAGTCTCCTCCAGAAGCTGGCTAAAAAGCTGATGCCTCAGCTGCCCTCTAGTTGACCCTGAGCTCTGCAGGGAGCTTTGGGGATCTGCATAAGGCAGACCTCCCTGCAGCCTCTAAGAGAGGGGCTTTGTCTCCTAAGACACACAGTGGTACATGGCAGTTATAGACCTGTCTCCTTATACCACAGCCACCCTGCTAAGAACCGACTCCCAGAGGTGTTGCGTGAGGATGAAAGGGTTCAACTTAAGACAGGTCTTATACCACCAAAATATAACCTATTCAAGGTTTTAAAAGCCACTGTACCATTGCGTATGGTGGCATACACCTGTAATCACAGCACTTGGGAGGCTGAGGCGGGAGGCTGAGGCAGAAGGTTTGCCAAGAGTTCAAGGCAAGCCTGTGCTACTTAGTGAGTTCAAGATCAAGATCAACTTGAACTACACAGTGAAACCCTGTCTCAAAAAGAAAAACAAACAAACAAACAAAAACCCACTGTACCTAAAGAAGCTACCAGATCTGTGGTTTTCTAAATTCAGGCTCTACCACAAGCATAAAGATTCTGAGTCCAAGGTTTCCATGGGGTCCAAAATAAGTGTTTGCAACAAGGTCCATACGGCTTCAGGTGCAAGAGGCCCAAGGAACACACCCTGAGGGACACTGGCTTAAGATACTGCTCTGCATGTAGCTATGACAATTGGGGAGCAAAAAAGCTAGGAGAAAGAATTTCAGCCTTCATCTGAAGGCTATTTAGGAAGTGCTTCTAAGCAATTTGTTAGCCACACAGAAACATTCAGGAGACATAAGGCGTGAAGCAAATGTATGAAACTCAGCCTCTCATCCCACTGCAGATATAGGCAGTCTGAGCCCAGAGAGGGAGGCCAAGGTCTCCTGCACAAAGCCTCCATTCAGGGTCCCCATCAGCAGTCCCATGGGCAGCAAGGAGCAAAGGACAATCCTCTGGAGGGCATGTGAATCAGCTAAATCAAACAATACTTTTTTATTGAGACTAGGTCTCCCTAGGTAGCCCAGGCTGGCCTTAAACTTGTTAACAGCCCTTCTGCCTCAGCCTCTCAACTGCTGGGATTACAGGCGTGTGTACCAACACAGCTGGCCAAACACTTCTGAGTAGTCAGGCCCTGCCTTTACCCTGGGGGGCAGCAAATTCTAGTATTTCCTTCTCTTCCTCTACCCTACCCTCTACTGTTACCCAAGTCCAAGCCCAGATTAGCCTATGTGCCTGTAGCATCAGAAATAGAGGCAGGTCAGGTGTGGTGGTGCACACCTGTGATCCCAGTACTCAGAAGGCTAAGGCTGGAGGACTTCCCTGAGTTCAAGGCCACCCTGGGATATGTGGTGAGTTCAAAGCCAGCCTGTACTACAAAGCAAGACCCTGTAATTAAAAAAAAGAAGAAGAAGAAGAAGAAGAAGAAGAAGAAGAAGAAGAAGAAAGAAGGAAGAAGTAGGAGGAAGGAGGTGGAAGGAGAGAGGAGGGGGGGGAAGAAGAGGAGGAGGAGGGAAGAGGAAGAAGAAGAAGAAGAGGAGGAAGAGGAAGAGGAAGAAGAAGAAGAAGAAGAGGAGAGAAGAAACAGGGACAGCCAGACCACTGGGAATAGGAGAGCATAGTGACAAATCCCTCTGCCATGGCCCAGGTAGCTTTCCACCTAGAGAATACCAGGCAAAACAAGCCACCCTCACAGTCACAAGGGTACAGTACTCCCAGGAAAAAGACTGTGTAGACAGCAAAGTTCCCAAAGCCAACCAGGCTCCTGGCAATAGGAGCCAGCCCCTGGACTCTTACCTGACTGGAACACGTATCGGGCCAGGCCCTGCATTAGCTCTGCTGGCCATGTTGGTGGGGCGGACTCCCCAGTTTCTCTTTTCAGGCGAAAAGTCAACTCAAAGCCAAAACCACTAGGCCCATCTGTTCCCGTAAACCTGAAAGGAATAAAAAGCAAAAAGTTCAACTACCTTAGGAAAAAGATTGTCTGAGAGTCTTGTGAAAGCTCTTATTTTGTGTGGTGGCCTCAGCATGCAAACCCTCTACTTTGGAGTTTCCCAGGGTATGACCCCAAGGGGAAGAAGGGCCTGGGAAAGCCTGGGAAGAAAGCAGAACTCCTGCCTTGCTCTCTTCCTATCCACATGTCCACAGTCTCAGCCTGGCCCGCACTGAATTAGAAGTTCCAGGGTTTGTGATTCTAGAACATTCCTTTCTCTATGACTGAAGCCATCACAGAAAATCTTCCCAGGGCCAAGGATTTAACTCAGTGGTATTACCACCTACCTTGCAAGTGCAAGGTCCTGAGTTCAATCCCTGGTACCAAGAATAAGAAAATCTTCCTCATTACTCCTTCAAGACAATACTCAGCACCCACTTAGTTTGTGAGGCAGGCGATGGAACCACTGAGCTAAATCCCCGGCCCCACTTAAGTTTGCTAAGATCACATGTTATGAGAAGCCAAGAAGGCCAGATGCTCTGTGAGGATAAGACCCTTCCTCCACTCCACCCCAGAAGGGTACAGCCATCAGTCAAGATTGGAGAGATCATGAGGCAGGTTCTGAATATTGATAGCCCCATATTCTTCCAAAAGCCAACTTCCCACACACCCAAACGCATCAGCACTGCTCTCCACGACCACACGTAACTGGAAGAAACGCAGCTGCCTCCCTGCCTACCTCCAGGGCCCACAGTGAAGAGGATTATAGCTTCTGCAGCCCTAGCTCCTCACAGTGCCTATGAGACAGGCTGGGCGCCTTCCTCCCTATGTGCCAGGAACCCAACTCTCAGGAAAGACTGCAGTGGACTGCTGCCAGAGAGGGCAGGGGTGTGGACCAGAGCCAGGCCCTGGTCAGTGGGGTGCCACAGCTCCCCAGGTCAGGAAGGCATCCGGGCAGGACGTCCTGAGAGCTCCTGAGGCTTGCCAGCATGGGAAGGGTTAAGTTAAAATATCCTCATGATATAATTTCAGTAATTATCTTGTGCAAACATGAGCCACAGTGATCAAACACGTGTAAACTCTCCGGCATACAAATACAAACCATAAACTAAGATGACAGCCAACACCTCCTTGCTAGCCAAGCTCCCTAAAAGGTTACCAGAAGAGAGAGCTCCCAAGGGTTGCTTGTGCGGGGGCCTGGACCTCCTCATGGCATCTTTCCTCCATCATCGTCATCCCTGGAGAGTCAGCTGGGAGACTGGAGAAAGCGATACAAGGTCCTGACCTTGGCTTTGTGTCCCCAGGAGAAGGCAGACCTCCAGCGCTGTGCAGGCGAAGACCGCCTCCGAGATGCTAAGTTCGATCTCTTTCAAACTGAAAAGGATCCCTTAGAAATGATCAAGTTAAACCCAACTGTATTTTAAAGAAGTATCCAAAGCTTATATTTTCTCTGGTTATCTAGCAATGTGGGAATCAGATCCATGTGGAGGATATAAGTGTGAAATTCTGGAGATCTGGCTAGTAGAAGATGCTGGCAGTTTCCTTGCCGAGCTGCCCTGTTTGGGGTTACTGCAATCCCATGAGGCTGAGGGTAGAACTACACAAACTGAGGCTACAAACGCTGCCTTTGGTGAGGTTCCAGGTTTGCAAGGGATGTGAAAACGTGGGGGTGATGAAACATCAACGCCAAAATTCTACAAAAGGAGACCGGTCAATGGGGCAAAAGGAAGATTTCAAGCAATCACCAATTAGAAGCAGCTATGTAGAGCATATTAGACTATTATTCTAGGGCTTTCATCTTGGGCCAAGGAAAATACATGATTTCTAACCACAAAAACTTGAGAGAGAAACAGACTAAAAGGAGTATGTGCACTGTGGGCTGAACAGTAAGAGCCCTTAGGTGCAGAGAGAGGTTGCTGAGTCATTCACATCCACACAGCAGCACCTCACTAGCGAGGGCTGCGTGTACACACACACACACACACACACACACACACGGGTATGCACTCACACACATACACATGTGAACACCATCTTCTCCACACAGGGCTCTTTTGGGGCCAGCTCCGGGGTGGGCAGCCCAGCCCTCACTCGGCTGCCAGGAGGGACAGCCCGCCAGATGGTCTCCACCTGCATTTGATTACGGCCCATGGGCTCGCTGGACACAACCTCTGAAACATGAGCGAGGAACGGCCCAGCCTCAATACAAACACACAACCTGTGCCTGTGGAAAAGTCTCTGTTTCAAAGCAGGCTGCCCAGGCAATAGCCAAGTGACAAGGCTACTCCATCTTCAAAGTGTGCTGGAGGGGCTATGGATGTAGCTCAGCAGCACAGTGCCTGCCTGGCAAGTGTGGGGTCCTGAGTTCAATCTCCAGTACCAAAAAACAAACAAACAGTGCTGGAGGCCCGTCTGGTCTGGACACCCTCATTTGAGGGCTTCTTCTGCCACATCAGAAGGGAAGCCCCTCCACAGAGCACTGTTCGCTGTTTTCTAAGGAGGAGCTGTCACATGCTGCAGAAGGGGATCTGGGTCAGAGGGAGTCATTTCTCAAGACAAAGGCTGTGAAAATATTGGCTGGTGGTAAATGAGGCCAGCGGAATTTCTTTACAGAGGAATTTTTAAGAGTAAGTTACAGATTTTTCCTCATCCAGCAGGAAGGAAGGGGTCTGCCTGGCTGTGGGATGGAGGAGGTAGCTCCACACCATTTCCACTCCAGATCCCTGGATCTTGCCTTCTCAGGGACCTGGGAGGGGCTGGCTTTGTCCCAGCGGTTTGGCTGTATCAGCCTCACAGCGACCAGACCCACATCCTAGACACAGATGCCCAGCCCCGGAACCTGCCTATGGTCCCTCCTGGAGTATGGCACTAAGGAGGGACCCATGAACCTCCAAGAGGCAAAAATAACTGCTAATTTCAGGCAGGAGGTGAACAGTAACCCAGGAGAGACTTTCTAGAGGGAATCCGTAGCTGGTGACACACAAAAAAGCCTACCAAGGCCAAGGATGTAGCTCAGTGGTGCCGCTGCCTGCTTTACAAGTGCAAGATCACGAGTTTGATCCCCAGTACCAAAAAAAAAAAAAAAATCCTACCAAAAAGCTGGCAGTTACTGCTCAACATCACAGTCGGCAGGGAAATGCTAATGAAACCTTCAGTGAGCTACCACTCCACACTCTCCAGGATGGCTAAAAACAACGCTGGCAATAACAAGTGCAGGCAGGGAGAAGAAATCGGAACACTCATGCAGTGCTGGTTAGCATGGAAAACACTGGTGCTGCTTTGGAAAACTGTTTCGTGGTTCCTCAAAATGGTTACACAGGGCCCGGGATGTAGCTCAGTGGCGTGGTACTTGCCTGGCAAGTCAGAGGTCCTGAGTTCAATCACCTGTGTGTGTGTGTGTGTGTGTGTGTGTGTGTGTGGCCATATGACCCAGGAGCTGAACTCCTCCTGTACACCCAAAAGAACTGTTCATAAAAGCCAAAATTCATGATAGCCAAAAACTGGAAGCAACCTAAATGCCCATCAACTGCAGAATGAATGAACAAAGTAAGACACAATTTACAATAAAGGAAGAAAGGAAGGAAAAGACAAGAAAAAAAAGTGAAAATAGAAGGAAAAATGGAAACAAAGTTTTTGTACATAGGGAAGGGAGGGGTGTAAGACGGGAATGGGATAAAATAAAATTTATTTTTAAAAAATGTTTCTAAAATAATTTACAATAAAATATTTGGCAATAAAAAGAAATGGTGGGGCCAGGGATTTAGCTCAGTGGTTCCACCGCTTGCCTGGGAAGCACAAGGTCCAAGCTTGATCCCTGGTATCAAACAAACACACACAGAGAAAGAAAAGAAAAATGAAATGGCACAGTGGTAACTGCTGCAACACAGACAAACCTTGAAAACATGAGGCCTTTTTATGAAATGTCAACAGCAGACAAATCCACACAGACAGAAAGTAATCAGGAGCTCAGAGGCTGGCATAAGGAGGCAGGGGAGAGCAATTTGCTTGCGGGGCCAGAATTTGTTTTTGAGGTGATAGAAATGGTCTAGAATTAGACAGTAGTGATGGTTGCACAGCCTTGTAAACATATTAAAAATCACTGAATTGTATACTTTAATAGGGTAAATTTCACGGGATATGAATTTAAAAAAAGAAAGCAAGCTGGCACCACCTAAATGCTGGAGGAGGCAGAACCTGAGAAGGCCCTGTTATCAGAGGAAGTCAAAGCTCCATGCCTGGTGCCCCCTTAAGACCTTCCAGTGGGGCAAGGTGTGGAGACGGGGGTCAGTGAGGCTGATGATCCTGAACCTGTGCAGGCCTAGGCTCAGGAGTGGGTCTCACTGTACAGTCCAGGCTGGCCTTGAAAGCACAGTAATCTTCCTGCCTCAGCCTAAGTACTGGGATTGTGAGTGTGCACCACCATACCCAGCTGTGTCTTAGTATTTAACAGAACAGTTTTCTATTTTGCTTTTTTGGTACTAGAGATTGAACCTAGAGGCCCTGGCCTTAAGCGTGCTGAGCATGTGTTCTATTGCTGAGCTATACAGCCAAAGTTCCAGCCAAAAAATTTTTAAAGTTTTAAAAAAGAAAAAGTTGTTTAACCAGAAAATAGATGAGTCAAAAAGGTTTTTAAAGTCAAAGCTTATAAAGTAATTGCTTGGCGTGGTAGTGCACATCTGTAATCCCAGCACTTGGGAAGCTGAGGCAGGAGGATTTCAGTGAGTTCAAGGCCAAGGCCAGCCTGGGCTACATACTGAGATCCTGTCTCAAAAAGAAGAAAAGAAAAGAAAAATTTATTTATAAAGTAAAAATAATACACATGGAGAGAGAAATTGGAGAAACAATCCCTTTCACAAAAGTATCAAAAAAAATGAACTATCTAGGAATCAATCTAATGAAGGAAGTAAAAGACCTCTACATTGAAAACTACAGTATTCTGAAAAAGGTATCAGAAAATGGAAAGACATCCCTTATTCTTGGGTAGGAAGAACCAGTATAGTA